AAAGCACAACAATGATGCAGCAATTCAAAAAAGCCAAAGAAGCAAAAGATATTCATATTCCGTAAAGTGCAGCAATCCAACTTACATTCTTTAAAAGAGAGAGAGAGAGAGAGAGAAATCCTAGGTCTCTATAGTAGGAGCAGGAGGAGGAGAGCCTGACAGTTCAGCCGTTGAAGTTTCTGGGGGTTCAGGAATAGACAAAGGAGTAGGGGCCTCAACTGCAGCTGGGGATAAGGTCAACATAGGAGCATGAGCAGCAAGATCAGCAAAAGAAGGTATTCCAGTAGGGGCATTAGAAGCAATGAAAGGGAGCTCGACAGTTATAGGAACAGAAGTTGTATCAAAACCATGGGCTGTAGGAGTAATTAGAGCAGAAAGAGCCTCTTGGGTCAAGACCTCGGCAGTAGAGACAACTACTACATCACCACCAGAAACAAGTTCAAAAACAGTGGGAACTAAAGCCCCAACCTTTCCTTCAGTGTTAGGCACCCCTGCCTCCTCCTCAGACAGGATTTTGAAGTCAAAATCCAAGTCTGGGTAGGTTTGCTCGACCCGGTCCTAAAAAGTGAGCCAACCGGAGGCCCATTTTGTAGTAACCTCATCTGTCAACTTCGCAATCAAAGCATCTTTCTTTTGAGTAGCAGCTCTCTGCACCTCGAGTTCATCTTGAAGAACATCGCTCGCCTTGGCCAAGACATCATACTCTCTCTTCATGCCCCTATAAGAGCCCAAAGCTTCAAAGGCCTCTTGGCTAACCTTAATCCACTCGTCAATCTTCAGCCTGAGATCATCCCTAGTTTTTCTAAGCTCCTCTTTGGTTGCCTTACTTTCACCCTTGATCTTTTTCTTTTTGACTTCCAGATCCTTGATAACAGAAGTGTGCCTCTCTACCTGTGCTTGCAAGTCCTAGACCTGGGCCTTATGGTCGTTATTGGCAAAAGATAGTTTAGCAATCAAGAACTCAAATGCCTTAGAAGAATTGACAAAGCTTGGATCTGCCTTGGCAAACCACTTACGTGGATAGCCAGTTAGGAGCAAACATCAAGCTATGGTTAGCACAACGAAAGGATGTAAGACAAAAGGTGGGGTGCGAAGAACCAGAAGCTTACCGAGGTTGCACCAAACAAGGTGGTGGAAATAGAAGATCCAAGGGGAATAGTTGAAGCCCTTTGAATATCGGATTTCAGGATAATAGAGGCAATGGCCTCCGCTACACGTTTCACGTTAGTCATAAGGGAAACCTCGTCTTCGACCGTGGGGTGTTTTTCTTTGCCAACCTTGGAATATTTGAGAAACAGACTAGAGGACCGTTCAACTGACTCAGGGAAGATAGATCCAGGCTAAATTCGGGTGATTGTTTCCAAGGTTTTCTCAACTTCTACTGAGGACGGAAAGGTTAGGAGGATGACACCTTGTTCAGAGACACCCCTAGACGAAGAGGGCACGATCTTTCGAGGGAGTGAGGTCTCCACGACCATTGCAGAGCTCGATAGTGGGACAAGGGCCACCTGGGATGAAGGAAGAGAAGTAGAGGCACATCCAACCTTGGCACCTTGGCTAAGAAAGCAACACCGTTGCCTGTCTCAATCTCTGCCTTACGTTTACTCCCACTCCTGCTCTTCTTTAACAGAGCCACCTTTGCTTTAAGATCATTTGAAGTGGGCTCCATTGAGGAAGAACCTATGAGCTCAAGGCATTTAGCTCAGAAGGGAGAGAAAAAGAAAAGAAATAGAAAGCTAAGAACAGAAGGAGAAAATGTTACTTGCCAAATCTTTAGCCCCAACCACAAAAATTAGGATAGAAGTCTCAACCCTCATCTCTGGAGGATTGAACCCGAGCTCAATAAGAACTTGAGGATTGATGAGCTCAAAATACTTTTCTGGATGACAACACTCTAAGCTCAGCAAAACTCGCTTATCCACAACACTGAGCTCTGGACGAACACCTGAGGAACAAAACAAAATAACCAAAACAAAGCACAACAAGCCACCAAGACTAACCCATACTCACTCAGGTAGGGGCTTACCCAAGTTGTCAGTGGGAGACTAGGCCTATTGTACTAGAAGAGTGTCTGCCACATCCGTAGGATGTACTCCCATTCCCTGCCCCACACAAAGAAGAAGAGCTTCTTCTGACCCTTATGGGAGCTCTTGAGGTCAGAAATGATGGCTTGAGTTTTTACTCGCTTAGAAATGTACAAAAAAACCATTGGAAGGAAGATATTTGACATTGAAGAATTTCATAAGCAAAGACACAGTGAGAACTCCAAGGTTATGTCTCTTGAAAAAAATTAGGAGACCCACCAAAACACCCCAGAAATTAGGAGAGGGTTGGGCAGGGCAAACATTAAAGTGCTGCAGGATGCTCTTGAGGAAGGGATGTATTAGAAAGCGAAGGTTGTTCTCAAAGGTGACTAGGAAGAAACAGGTCTTTTTAGGAATGGGGGTATCATACCGAACGTCTAAATCTCTTACACCCCCAGGAAAACTAAAATGGGCAAAAGCACCCCCATATAAGAACGTGTAACCTCGCTGCGACCTAGGAGGTCAGAAGCTCTGGGGGAAGCCTCAGCACCTTCAGCGTTGCCAGGGATCCCCATACCACTCACTTTGATCTTACCTTTATTGGATTTTTTGGGCATAGGAGAGGGTGACAAGGGAGGATCCTCAGCGTTTTCCTCAACTTCTATAGAGTCGACTCCAGAGAAATTTTCTATCTCCTCACATACATCACCCAAGTCTACGTCTTCAGTAAACCTGTTGCCCAAAAGGGAAACAGACGAGCCTGTAGCTTCGGAGGAGGCAGACATGGTCAAACAAGAGAAAAGAAGCCTAAAAGATCTGTACAGAGGAGGGACTTCTGCAAAACAGTCTCTGAGAGTCGCGAGATCAAGACACTAGCGACCAATAAGGAAAACTCTAGCAGTAGAGTAAGGGTCCAAGAAAAGCAGAAGAGAGAACAAAGAACTGTCTCGATTCCTAAATAACAAAAGCGGAAAGCCCAAAAATATAGCAACCACCTCGGATTCAAGGGATCCAGAATGAAGAAATGAACAAAATACGAGAAACGTACCTAAACAAGGACGAACGGTGGACCAAAGCTCAAGACGAAGTCCGAGAGCAAGCTTCGCTAAACCTTCAGATCGAATTAGGGGATATCATTTTTCTGTGAAACCCTAAGAGCGCCAGCAAATTCGGGGGGCAGAAATCGCAAAAAAAAAAAAAAAATGAGAAAAAGTAAAGCCTAGAGAGAGAGGAAGTGATGAATGGTTTAATCTTTTATGGAAAATTTACTTGCTACTTCAATATATTAAATCACCATATGGCTCAAACAACAGCCCCACCATTCTTTGTCTTGTCTTCATTCTTATGTAACTCTCCCACCATGGTCCAAGTCCTTATGCAAATCATACAATAAAGGATGGCTCCATATAATTACCATATCTTTAACCCAATGCCTAATTAAACAATGAGATCTCTCAAACAAAACCCAATTCAAACCCAATGCAATTCAATAAAACCCAATTCAATATCATAACAAAAGGAACAAAACAATTCAACCCAATGCCCAATTAAACAATGAGATCTCTCAAACAAAACTCAATTAAACAATGAGATCTCTCAAACAAAACCAACCTAATTCAATTAAAACCAAAGTCCATGATCATCTAGCAAAAACCAATGCTTCCAATCATACTAATCAAGAACAATCAACAAAGGCATGAAGTGAATTCAAGATCTACACAAATGATCAATATATAAATATATGCCCCATATCAATACAAACAATTATTCAAACTAATATTAAGCATTCAAAACTATTGCAAAACTGCACAAATCAAAACTGGGGTTAAATCGGGTAGGGGTTTTAGGTTATCAGAAAGGGAGAGACAGCGAACGAGAGGTGAAATGAGAATACCTGAAGCAGCGAACAATGGTCTAACCAAATCTGAAGCTTTGAAACAGCAAACAATGGTCTGGCCAAATCCGAGAGAGGCAGCAAATCTAAAGCTTTGAAGCAGCAAATCAGAGAGAGGCAGAAAAAGATGATGGTTTGAGCAAATCGATTGCAGAGAGAGGCGAGAGTTGATGGAGTTCAGTCGATGGAGTTCAATCTATGGAGAGGCAGAGAGAGACGGAGTCTGGTGTGAGGGAGATATGGGCTAGCTAGATGTATCGAGCAAAAAACGGGCTATGAGAAATAAATAGCCAGATAGCTAGTCTGTTGGAACCACTTTTGAAGGAGAAATTATTTAAAATAGCTAAGAGGGGAGGGGGGAGATGCTCTTAGAGCAACTCTAAAACACTAGCTAAAACTTCTTTTTTAGCTATTTTAGATAGTTTTTCCCTAAAATGTGACTCTAATAAACTAGCTACTTCCCTATCTATTTTTCATATCCCCATTTTCACTAGATACATCTAACTAGTCACTTCTTCCTATCTACTTCAGAAGTTGTTGGTCTAGTGTTTAGATGAGGCAATCGATGGAGAGACGATGACATCTAGTTTGATTAAATTCGAAGCTTTCAGAAGTTTTCGATCAAACTTGAAAGTTTTGATGTGATTTTGTTTTGAATTTTGTGATTTAATTTGAGAAAATTTGGTTTGGGAGTAGTAATTTTCGGGAAGTGAGTTATCTCTTATAACCTATAATTAATTAAATTTGTATAATGTATAATTGAATTGCTATTTTTTAAATTTTATTATTGAAAGTTAGTTAAAATTAATTAAAGTGATTAGTTAAAATAGATAACGTTGTTGAAGTAAATTTAAAAAATTAATTAGTTAAAATAAATAATATAATATTTAAATATATTTTAAATAACTATTTGACATATAATCGACTAAGATGCTCTTACACACCAGATTTGGGAACCTCTTCCCATCAAAACTCAAAAGCCAAAGCCCTGCCCTGCCTCAAGGCACGGGTTAGTTCAGTACTTCAGTTCTGAAAACGCTGAAAACCCTTGCAAATTTCAGAACAGGCGATCGGCAAGCTAGATGTCGGAAAACGACGGCGTTCGATTTGTATCGTCTTCCATCAAGCTCGCTCCTCTGTCGCCTCTTCACCACCACCCTATACCTCTCTTCCATACCCTCCAACTCTCTCCCCAAAGCCTAACTTCAGCTCTCTCCAATGCCAAACATTCCATTGACAACTTCATCACTTCACTGAATGTCCCCCAAAAGTCCAACCCATTTAACCCAAGAAATGCAATCAACCAATTTGTAGACTCACTGAAAACCCACTACAAAACCAATCGATTTAACCCACTTGATCAATTCGTTAATTTCTTTAAAACCCAGAGAAAAAACAACCCATTTCACCTTGTATCAAGGTCTAGTCTGTTGTGCTCGGCTTCGTTGAGTCTGACTCAGAGTGAAGGGGATAATGCAGTGGTGACTCAGCCGAAGAGTGGCAGTGGGCACTCTTCGACCAGTCGACACGAGGAGGAAAGAGTTTTGATCAGTGAAGTCTTGGTGAGGAATAAAGATGGCGAGGAGCTGGAAAGGAAAGATCTTATGAATGAGGCCTTGGCGGCATTGAAAGCTTCGCGTCCCAACTCTGCTCTCACGGTCCGTGAGGTTCAAGATGATGTGCATCGGATTATTGCAAGTGGGTACTTTTGTTCTTGCATGCCCGTGGCTGTGGATACCCGGGACGGTATTCGGTTGGTGTTTCAGGTATTACACGCGCGCACACACACACACAGTAGATAAATAGAGAATTGTGTTACTGTTTGAATGTTCTTGATAGCATTTGTGTTTTCTGAATGAAATGGATATATGTGAATTTGACTGCTAGGCTTAGAAAGAAGTTATATCGTGAGAAGATACCATATGCTTGATCAAGTATTGTCCTTCACTGATTTTTTCGAGTACTTTGAGAATAAATGATTATCAACAATTGTTAGCTTTGTTTGGGAGGCATGCCCTCACACCCCTTGGGGGCAGGTGAGGGCTTGTCTGAGTTGGGTCATGGCATGCGAGGGGTCCAAAAGTTATAGATAATTTTGTGGTTCTGTCCTTGATATGTACCACCAGGAGCATCACTTATGATGCTAAATCTTTTGGAAGGAGTTGTATTACGAAATTTGTTTTTGCTAGGATGCCTAGACTTTCTACACGAACCAACACACATTGCAAAACTTTTTGGGGAAGAAGAAGGAAAATATATCAATTGCTTGGGTGCTAGAGGTGCTAGATAGGAATAAGCCCATGCAAAACAAAATAAGTATATCAGCATATGGGAGTCAACGGGGGCAGTTATCCCGTCGATTGATGCGGTGTTGAGGTCGCATTTCTCTTAATGAGTCTGTCCATTTGAGTAGTCTATCGAAAAAGGGTGTAATCCCTCCCTTGGTGATAGTAGCTCTTCATCGGCTTATAGCAGGAGTTGAGCTCTTCCGCTAGTTTACTAGCTCTGGTAGTAAGGCTCTTCGGTTAATAGTTCCACTGGAAACTGCTTCATGTACCATTGCTTTTCATTTTTTTTCGCTAATCTCTTCTTTCTGTCTAAAATTCCCTCCCCTTTGAGGCGACTTTCAAGAGAGAAAAAGATGAGTTTGTCTCACTCTACTCTTTGTTTTGTTCTGGCTTCCCTTACTCAAATAGGGCTTCCATTAATAAAGGAGAAAGCTCAAACCTAGGAAAGACGGATATGGATAACCCCAGTTTGTTGTTCGGCGCATCCCTTCTTTCCGACTCGAGAGGCTCTTTTCCTGCCCCACAATAAGTAAGGACTAAGTCAAAGGCAGAAGAATCTCACTAAATGTTGCTTTCCCAAAGATTCATGTTAAGACGTCTTCTGGTTTTGACTCCTTTTATGATGAATCATTCTCTGATGGAAACCCTATTGTTTAGGGCTTTTGGGAAGACAATTCCAAGGTTTCTTTTTCCTTTAGAGGACAAAAATCTCTATCCTCTAGTGAACCTCATCCTCCAGTTACCTATTCTACATATAGAAGATCCATTTCGATGATGAGAATGAGAAGACGAGAAGACAGAGATCCTACTTCTTCACAAGCCTTCTCTAGCACACCCACTCAAAGAAAAATGATTTATGTGGAAGACTTAGTGAATAAATATTGAATATTCAATTGTTAGGTTAGAGCAGTTTTCAAGTGCAGGTGATGGGCCAAAACAATGTTATCATGGCCAAAGAATTGTAGATCTTATTTTCCTCAGTTTGCCATCAGAGGCAGACCAAAAGATATGGCATCCTTCCAAGAGAGGCTGAATATCTTCGATTTCCATCAATGCGGGCCCAGCCTATTATATGAAGTTGATAATTGAAGCACTAAGAAGGCACACACCAGAAATTTTTCTCGCAACACGCTGTACTTTTCTTTGTTATTTTTATTGGGTTTGTGAGCGAGAGGTAACACAGAGCTACCAGAGAGCTCCTTCTAAGGTCGTTCCTATCATATCTACAAGGAAAAGAATACTAAACGCTCCAGGGGGCTATCGAGTATTTTGAGCTCCAGATCTTGATGCTGATCTGACACCTTAATCCGTTATCTGTATTACAATTAAAATAGGTGCTGAGCTTGACAGCCAACAAAACTTGGACCATACTTGGAACAAAACTTTTGAATTTACCAGATATACTTGGATCATACTCTTGAATTTATACGCAGAGTAAGTTTCATCCCAACAAGGCCTGTTGACCCAACCCAATCTTAACCTGTTCATAGGAGAAGAGTCCCTAGTTTAGTCAAAGCAAATCAAAACAAGTTGGCATTTTCCATCTTTTTCCCCCAAATAAAGGTAACATGCTTTTCAACCAAATTTGCATTATGATCTTGCTCAATACGGTTTCTGTTTGGATACTCGTAGAATGATAATGCAAACTTTTGACCGATATGGTTGAATGTATAATTAACTATTAATAGTAGTTGTTAATGCTTTTGGTTTTGGTTTTGGGTTTAGTTTTAGTGCATCCTAATGGTCTGGGGAGATGCTTTTTCAATATTTGTTGAGAGAAGTCGACGTATGTGTCACAGCTATATGGCAGGCATTAGGTGATATGACAAGGAACATCCTATCCTTATCATGTTCTAGGGCTGAAGTACAAGGGAAACGTGGTTAGTTTAGGGATCAAAACAAGGGGATAAGGCAGGGTATGCTTCTGACTTTTAATTCAAAGTGTTGTGGAAAAGGAAATATAGAAAGAGAAGCACTTTATGACTGTTTGATCAAGTTTCTTGCTCAAATCAATAGGGAAGTACTGTACTCATTTTATAACCAAAAAAACTAAACTCTCTGCCTTATGTGTAACAGCAACAAGCCTTATGAAACTTGTGTAACAGCAACAAGCCTTATGTGTACACGCTTGAAAACATTAATGACTCACATTCCTTATGAAACTTGACCTACTTGGTATGATAATGAACAAGAAATTAAATTACATTGCAATAGTAAGCTACTAATAGGGTGGATTATAATTCAAGAAAGACTCCCAGCTAACTCGAAGTAGGACACCTAGAGTTTAGAGATTTTAACACACAATAGCAGTTTTTTATAGAAAACTATCAAAACTAAAATTCCAAGTAATAAAACTTCCTAAACTCATAAAACCACTAAACTAACCTAACCTGGAATAAGAAAAAGTTAAACTCCTAATAAAATGAAACAACCCTAAGATATAAGAGCATCTCCAACCATGATTCAAATTTTTACTCAAATTTAAGTCAACATTTGAGGAAAAAGCTTGATTTGATACAAAATTTTCCAATGGAGAAATTCAAAGTTAAAAGAGGACAAAGACAAATTTACATGGGGACAAACCCAAATTTAAAGGAGGATATAATATGACCATTGATCTTTAACGGAGAATGAAATGTAACCATTGGTTATTTCTGCAAAGGTTTGAGTCTCACTTGATTTGAGTTAAAATTTGAGTCTTTCTTGATTTGGTATGAGTTTGGGTGTAGCATTAGAGAAGGTTTTTAGGGATTTTTTTACCCAAATTTGAATTTGGGATTAAAAAAGAGTAAGGGGCTGGAGATGCTCTAAACTAAGTAAAGTACATATACGCCAAAATCCCTGTTGTAGACAAGTTTCTGTTTATTGGTGTCTGATTTTACCTTTGCATATTTAGTTTTTTGAAAAATATGCCTTCCAAAGCTTGTTGAATTCTTGTAATCTCCCATATCTATGGACATGAAATTGAATTGTTTACTTATCACACTTGACAGTATGATTTACTAGACAGGTTACCTATGACACTGAAAAAAAAAAAATAGAAAAAAAGGAGGCGGCTTGGTATACATTCACCAAGGGTCAATTGATGTTTTGGATGGTATAATTATTTAAAGTGTTTCTTTTGGCCTAAGGTAGAACCAAACCAAGAGTTCCGAGGGTTGGTATGTGAAGGAGCGAATGTTCTTCCGTCAAAGTTCATAGAGGATGCTTTTCGTGATGGATATGGTACATTTCTTTCACACACATTCTTCCGGACACATAATATGAATCCATATATGAGCGCATTCATGATTTGTGTCATATATTGTATCCTGAATTTTAGGCTTTTTGTATGTCTGAATTCTGCTGATATGGGACCCTTGTTTTGCTGATTTTGTTGTCAAATATCGCAGGGAAAATTGTTAACATCAAGCGTTTAGATGAAGTTATTAACTCAATTAATGATTGGTACATGGAGCGGGGTCTTTTTGGCACGGTTTGCACCTGATTTGTTTGAATTTTTAATCTGTGATTTTGATGCTGCAGGGATGCAAAGTTAATTTAGGGATTTCAGGTTTCAGGGATTGAGATTCTTTCTGGGGGTATTATTAGGTTACAAGTTTCAGAAGCAGAGATCAACAACATATCCATACGTTTCCTCGATAAGACGTAAGAATCTGCTTTGAGTCGCGTACCATATTTTGTGTGAGATTTCATTATACCCATTCTTCTCCTTTCTTCTCCAGTGGTGAGCCAACCGTAGGGAAGACAAGGCCAGAAACTATACTTCGGCAACTTACTACTAAGAAGGGACAGGTACTTCCATTGACCATGATAATTACTTAACTACGATGTTAACCATTGTTCATTTGTGTCATCAGCTTTGTTTCTTGATTGGTACTTGTGTTATTGCCTTTGAGAAGTATCTAGTTGAATGCTGCTTTTCTATCTGCACTGGAGGCTTTCTCATATTTGTACTTTCAAAGCTTTCTATAGCTTTCCCTTACCATTGGTTTATATATATTATTGCTGCTCTATTTAATGTTTTTAGCCTTTCTTGATAATTCTAAACTACGGTGAATATTGAATATGAGATTTTTACACTAATGTACAAGCATTTATATGCTTTTGGTTATCATGTAATGCAACATGGTTGTCTTAATCTTTGTCGAGTATCTTGTTTTGTAATTTATTGATTTAGTATGAAACCAAGAATGCTTTTACCATGAATTGCTGTTTCCAGAACTGACTGGACCGGCTAGTTTCTAGACATGCGATAACTCAACTAATGGATTGACTTGCTTTCTTGTTCGGCTTGACATAATATACTGTAGCATGTTCAGATGGATACACAAATGCACGTATATGCTGAGCCCTCCTAGTGCCAATGTCTTGTTAACTATGCTTTTTTATGCCAAGGTGCCTGTTGTATGTGGTATTACGGTCTAATATATGTGTTTATGCAGCACATAGTGGAAGTAAGAAAGAGATTAGTGATCCTATTTTTTTGTATGCATATGAACATATATACATTGTGTTCATAAATTGGTCCTTTCCTGTTGGCTTTACCTTCTAGCATGTATCATCATCCAAAGAAAAAGGGAGAAGAAAATAATAATTGTTTTTGTAATTGTTAGGGTGGGATTATCTTATTATTGTCTCCAAGAATTTCTGGTGGCTACTTCTCTCACCAACATGTCTCTCCTTGGAATTTAAATATTATTGCATAGGTCTACAGTATGCTTCAAGGGAAAAGAGATGTTGATACTGTGTTGACAATGGGCATCATGGAAGATGTTAGTATTGTTCCGCAGCCTGCTGGAGGTAGTAATATGACATAATCATTCATGCGTGCATATTTGATTGGAGATGATTTTAGGCGTGAAGAGATGTTATGTATAGACATAAATATGCTTACATACATTCCGTACATACATACATAATAGCATACTCTTATCTGTTTTGAAACTAATTTTTTTAATGAACATCCAGAGACTGGCAAGGTTGATTTGACAATGAATGTTGTTCAGCGTGAAAGCAAAGGCTTCTCTGCCGGTGGTGGGATTTCAAGTGGGTATGTTAGCAATCACAAGTACCACTATTTTTTGACAACAGTACAAAGTTGATGTTATTATGTACGTGCTTTTATTCAGTGTGTTGTCTGGAATGCATATTTACTTCCTGATTCTTTCATTTGTAGGATAACAGGTGGCCCTCTAGCAGGACTGATAGGAAGGTAATGTAACTATGACGAGGGGGCACGATTCTTTGGTATTTGTTCTCCAGTCTCCCTTTATTTTTTTGTGCACATAAGAGTTGTCCCAAAGGAAATCTTTCTATTTAATATGCAGAACATGTTTGTCCTATATGGGGATGCTTTGCTGCAAAACTGTGATTCCTGTCCCCAGTCTTGTCTAACCTCTTGTTTCACGTGTCTAGAATCAGAATATCTGTTGAAAGGGACAGGCTTATCTATTCAGTTACTTTTCAGTAGAAAGAGCCATCTTGGCTTTTACTGATAAGTTTCTGATTTTTACATCTGTGGCTGTAATTTTCTATCTATTAATCTGTAATAGTTTCAATAATAATTAGCTCTTGACTCGCTTGTGAATTGTTTTGCTGTATCAGCCCTGTGCCCCCCCCCCCCCGCCCCCGCAAGCATAGTTCAAAGTCGCAGTATAGGCCATTGACTCGGAGGGTGTTAATACACATCGGTCGCGGCGTGGTATTAGCTGATACGCTCAAAACACAAGATAGAAGCTCGAAAAAATTTGAAAAAATTATAGAAAATTCTAAAAATATAGACATCATCTTTCGTGCATCATATGTCCACAATACATCCAAAAACACATTAAACATAATTAAAATGAAACATAAAATCGCTACCGAAAATAATTATCATTATCAATATTCAATGTAGGCATTTAGAAACATATTGAACCATAATCATTGCCATATTGAACGACGATGAGGCTCAAAATCGTCGTTATTGTCTCTAGAATAATACAAATTAGAATACTGTCCACCATAAGAATAAGAGTACAAGTGTGAATACGAGTCTGATTGGGTTAGTTGAGTTGATTGGTTAGATGACCCAAAATCAAAGTAGTGTGGCTGTGGAGATTGTACTGGCTAGATGACCCATAAATTATTTTATGTAATTGTAACATTTGCATCTCTGGAGGAGTGAAACCCAATTAAATCTCTGCCTCTCTGGTTTACAACATGTTGGAGCTTTGGAGGAGTTGAACCAGTGACATGCAACATGACAATTTGCAACTTCATCCAATTGAGTTACTACTTTTATTTTTGTTCAATTTTCAGAAAAATGATTAAGTGTTTTTAAGTTTTTACCGAGGTGTGGGTGCTGGACTTTTGTTCTTTATCTCTAATTTGGGGGGATTTTTTCACTGTCGTGTTCGACTCAGAAAGATTCCGATAGGAGTTGCCCGAGTTGAATCGAGTTATCACCGATACCTTTGATTTCGGCCAAGACGTCCGATATATCGCCGATATTAGTTAAACTCGTCATTCTTGCGATTCGCGTACCGTTATCGAATCGTCAATGGCCGAGTCGTATTGGATTTGGCCGATACCTTGAACCATGCCAGCAGGTGTTGAACTGAATTTGTGTGTTTTGTATTTCTCCTGTTTTTTTGGGTTATTAGATCTGGCCTTTGTTTTAAAATAATTTCACTTTCCATTTGTATGCTGTTTACGTGTATCCTTTAATTGCAGCTTCGCATTTTATCATAGAAATCTTTTCGGGAGAAACCAAAAACTTAATCTTTCATTAGAGAGAGGCCAAATTGACTCAATATTTAGAATAAACTACACAGACCCATGGATTGAAGGAGATGATAAGCGGACATCAAGATCAATCATGGTTCAGGTGGTTTGATGTCGATTTATAATTATCTATCTTGATATTTTTAATAATGAAATGCTGATTCTTTTGGACAAATTCCTTATGAATTAGAATTCAAGGACCCCTGGCACACTTGTTCATGGGAATCAACCTGACAATAGTAGCCTGACCATTGGCCGGATCACAGCTGGCATTGAATACAGTCGGCCATTCAGGCCGAAATGGAATGGAACAGCTGGAGTTATTTTTCAGGTACTAAGTCTATGGTTTTTTATGTCTAGTCTTTTTCTCTATTAGGAGCATTCAATTTCTGTTGTTGGTGTTTAATGATTATTACAAGAAAGATTGAAAATGAAATTGTTCATCAGTTGGTGTTCCAGTCTCTGTAATGGAATTTTTAGGACTTTTTTTTGTACATTTGAGTGTGTCAGCTCCTAAAGGAGCTCTCACAGAACAGACTATGTTACTCATTCCTTCTGCGACATTTCCAATTCCACTGGGCTCTGTTCCTGCTCCACCCCTCTTTTTGTAAGAAAATCAGCTGATGCATTTCCTTTTCTTAGCATGTGCTAAGTTTGAGAGCTTAGGTGCTACCATAGGCTACTGCACTTCTCTATGAGGGGTCTGTTTGGGTTCTCATCTCCTCCACCATGGGATATTGGCCGAGTCAGACTCCAGGATTATGCTGTTGATTCATCTTCTATTGCACATGTGCAGTCCTCCCAACATTCTCCAATCTCCATAGCTCTACAGTTAGACTGTTTGCCCTTCCAATCTTATACAGCTTTCCAGTGGTCTCTCTTATCCCTGATTATACCCCCTAATCCAGCTTCTCCTGAGCATCCTCATGCGCTGATTCATTATAAGGTTTGGGGTGACTTTAAAACTTTCTAAGAGGATACCTGAGAAGGTTGTTCATCCTTGATTTTGTTTTCCCACTTCCTCCATGAGGCTCATATTTCTAGTTTTCTTGTTGCAGGTCTAAAGAGAGTTTGTATCCCACATTGAAAGATTAAGGGTATTCAGAGTTAATTTATATGGCAAAGGAGCCTCTCCACTCATTTCTAATTGGTTTTGAGTTGGATGCTCTTATTTTGGTTTATATGGCTTGTGGGCCTCTCCATTTATCACCAATTAGTTTTAAAGTTGGATGCCCCTAATAATGGTGGAGAATACTAATTCTTGGGATTTTAATAGCTTTAGATGCCTTAATGAGAGAGAGGAAGAGGACCTAACTTCTTTGCTTGATGTCCTTCATAACTTCGTACTACTTCTCACAATTGTAGGCTTTCTACCTCATATGAATCCAACAACTTCCCTTATAAATCATTTTATTTCTATCTCATAAGATTCCAGAATGCTCATCCTTTCTCTTTGGACAAATTCATTAGGAAAGCTCAAGTGCCCTCGAAAGTCATGGATTTTGTTTGGTCTGTTGTAACAGGATGAATGCTAATGCATTGTTGTAGGTGAGAATACCTTGCAAAGCTTTGATTGATGTCATTTTCTTAGTTATAGAAGAAATGGATGATCAAATGCGCATTTATTCATTCATTCTTCTTTTGCTTGCTGTTAAAATATTGAAATGTCAAAGGATAACCATTTTATATTGAAATGTCAGGGGGTGGACACTCTAATGAAGGAAATACCAGGAGTGTTATTGTAATTTATCCCAAAGTAAAAAGACCCTCAACAAATGCTACTACCTTGACCTTGAGAGCAGGCAATCCTAATCGAAAAGAGTTTTGAACTGAGCTTGAAAGAAGTAATGTTGGTTAGACACTAGGTTGAAATGGGCACGGACAAGAAATATTAGTAGTTTAGTACTTGAGGTTGAGTCTAGATGGACTTTTAACTCAACTACAACCTGCCCAAGTTGCAGTTCTGCGATGATGTGATTAATGATAGCTTGGGGTACCGGGCTGAGCCTTCCGAGCTTTCACTATGCTCAGGCTCGACTCGAGTTGTTGAAGGTGGTTTGGGCTGGAAAACCGAGCTCAGACTTTTGTTCAATCTCGGTTCAACAAAAGACAAGGTCTAGAAATCAATCCCAAATCCATTCTACATAAATCTCAAATCCACAAACTCACATTAGAAATCCATAATTGATACTCAAAAGTAGCATAAGATTTATAGAAATCAAAAACCAAATACATACCTTAACATCAGAAAATTCTAAATCAGAACCAAAACTTACAAATAGAATATACAATATCCAATATCTAACTAAGTGAATAAAGCAGATGGCCTTTGATGAGTGATTAGCTGTTCCATCTTCTCATGCCCGTTGTGTAAATGCGGGAGATAATGAAATAGGCAGAAACCGAGAGCTATGAGAGAGTTGATGATAACTAGTCTTATAGATGTAAAGCACAGGTGAAGAAGGAATGCGAGAAAGAAGAGAGAAGATGATTCTGTGAATCAAAGTGGGGGGGGGGGGGGAGAGAGAGAGAGAGAGAGAGGAATGTAGTTGGATTGACTGTTGAGACACAAAAAGGGGAGGTAATTGGGGGGGGGGGGGTTTGGGGCTTACAATGTTCTCTTTATTTTGATTTTGTGTGTGTGTGAGAGATAGAGAGATAAGGGGAGACATTCGCATGGGTGGGTGGCTTGTATGATATGATAGGATTTAGAGAGTATTGTTCATTTGTTTGAATATATTTTTAGTATTTCTACAAAAATATCCTTTGAGATTTAGTTTGCTTTATTTTATACAAGTGGTTTGGCTTGTATTTCAAAATGAGTGAGCTTGAATGTGCCAAAATGAGCCGAGCCCAAGACCAACTCCCTAAAGATAGTCTTATATTGTTTAAGTTTGGTAATTTGTGTACCACTGACCCCTCCCTTTCATTAAGATGCCAGGCCAACACCTACTGTAGTCATTATGGCGATAATCCCTAAAAGCCAAAAATTTGTGAAACGATTAGAAATGCATTCTCTCCTCGTTGTTTTTGAGGTTCATTCTTGTCCTTTATGGAATTTTTTGGAGTTGATTCCATTGAATGATGTGGCATTCGTTAAACATATATAATATAAAACGTTTGTCTGTTGCATCGAGTGGTTAATTGTTGTACAAAAATGTGTTTTGAGCCATATCTTTGGTTTACGTTTAGATATCTCTCATTATTATCTTTATAAATAATGACTTTATAACAAAACTATATTGTGAAATGTTAATTCTCTCACCACTTTCGCCATTATGTTCCTTCTTTATTTCACTGGTTGGGATGTAGTCTTTTACAGGATGGTTTGGGTACTGCTCTAGCAAATGAGCTAGTAATTCTTTGACATCACTGAACATTCTTGTGTTGTTTTTGAGTGTTAATTGGGCTAGAAAATATGTTCTTCAGCTATACTCTTGCTTTATAATTTCTTGTTATGAGTTATTGATCCACAATTTTTCAGCATGTTGGTGCTCGTGATGATAAAGGGAATCCTGTTATAAGGGACTTTTACAGTAGCCCACTTACTGCAAGGTATGTATCTTTAAATTTCTGTAAGCTTGGCTGTATGAAAATTTTCACTTGTTAATCATGCCATTACAGTAATGCCTCATCTGCTTCAAATTTTATTGCAGTGGCAATACCCATGATGATATGTTACTTGCTAAACTTGAGGGTGTATATACTGGTTCTGGTGACCCCGGGTCTTCAATGGTTAGTTGTCTGCAAGTTGCTGATCGTTTTTCTTTTGTTCAGCGCATCTCTGGATCCTCATCTCTTGCCCTTTTTTTTTTGCAGTTTGTATTCAATATTGAACAGGGACTTCCTGTATGGTCAGAGTGGCTAGTTTTTAACAGAGTCAGTGCTCGAGCGAGGAAAGGTTTTGTAATTGGTCCTGCTCGCTTTCATTTAAGGTATGATGCGTTTTTTTGTGTCACCTTCATATGGGGAGTTTGATGAGGACACGTAATGGGGTGATATCCTTGTACCTCAAGTTATACTTCTTCCCCACCCTTACCCCAAAACCAACAAGGACAAAAATGTGTTTGTTTTGCCTGCCTTCTGCTAGCTTTCTGGCTATTAACATTTTGCCTTGCTGTGTAGTGTGTCTGGTGGTCATGTGGCTGGTAATTTCCCTCCCCATGAAGCTTTTGCCATTGGTGGAACTAATAGTGTTAGAGGATATGAAGAAGGTGCGGTTGGCTCAGGTCGGTCTTATGTGGCTGGCTGTGGAGAAATTTCTTTTCCCCTGGTAGGTGGAGGCAGCTTAATTTTTTTTTGTGCTTCATATTGTGCGACAATTGGTTGTGTCTGTTCTCTGCTCATGGTTGGTCATTTTACTTACCTCGCTAGCTGAAATTTTTTTCCCAAAACTTGCTTGTGCATCAAGAGGCTGTATCTGGCTAACTGCTTTATCTGAGTTGAATGTAATTTGTTGTTAAATAACATTTCTAGCTAGGGGCTCAAGAAAAAATAATCCACCATAAATCAAATTGGAGCAAAATATAGTGTTACCTGGATTAAGTAATATAGCAATATTTATTCATGAAACTTTACTTGTAGAATTTATGGAAAATGTAAAATTCATGGAATAAGTTATAAGTTAGTATTTTGAAGTGGTTCTCTGGATTCAATATATATTTTTAATAATGAGATTAAGACTTCATATGTGGAAAGTGGAGATATTGTTGTCTTCTTTATATTGGACAAATCCTTCAAACAGTTGGGAACAATTAGAGCTAAATAGACTTATTAAGTTTAGCCATGCTTTGGGCTGTAAAAGATGTAGAAAATGAGCTTAGAAGAATTGAGATTGCAGTGGGAGATGAGTGAAATGGACCTCCAGAGATTGTGGGGGAGGCATGAACTATGGACAGAGAGTCAGCTGGCATGACTGAAAATTTCTGTGTTATATGTAAGATGTTTTTGGGATGCTCTAGTATGTTTAGAGAACTGAAAGTATTTTCCTTCGGATCAATGAATTTGAGAGCTAAATATGTAAATTTTAGGTAGAATCGGATGCAATTCATCAGTTGAATTTAGTGTGACAAAAACAATGAATCATGTAAGTATCTCCATACACCAATATTATTGGACATAATAATTATAAATTTCTCAATTGAATATTCTTTGGTTTCTTTGGTTACCAAATTTTTAAGAAGACACATTTGGGTCAAAAATCGTTTTTGAAACGTCCGAAACGTTTCCGTTTCCAATGAGAACGAAACGAATCAATGATGGAATAAAAATTCTAATGTTTTGAGGTATTTCATAATGTTTCGAGATGTATTATAATATTTTAATGCATTTGCACAATTGTTTCGGAATGTTTCAAGGTATTTCAAGATATTTTGATATATTTAAATCAATGTTTTAGAAAAATAATTCTTAAATTTTTTATTTTTTTCATTATGTTTCTGAAATGGGTTAAAACGTTTTTGAAACACATCGAAATATTTCCGTTTCCTACGTGACTGAAACAATACACCGAAACAAAATTTTGATCCTTGATTTGGAGAAATGTGATTTGATCTTGTATGTGCTATTTAGACTTGCTAAATTAATTGTTAGATTGCAAGTTTAGGAAGAAGTAGTTGATATTCTTAGCCGAAGAAGCACAGATATAGGCATGGGACACGAATACGACATGAGCATGACACAAACACGCAAACAAGGTGTATTTAAAAAAATGTAGGATATGGATACGAAACACACACATCCCCTTTTTTTTTTTAAATTTATTGGGTCATACAGTAAAAACCTAACATTATTTGAATCAAATTAGGAATAAAAAACACTGAAATCAAACCAATAAACACTGAAAGAAAAGGAAAAAAAAATGTAAATTAATTTCTGAAAGCCCTATCACATAAAAACCCTAATTAGTTAAATTTAAAAACAAATCTATACTGTGCAGACTTGAGAGATAACGTCCGCATTGTCTAACTAGTCTGATCTACCAGCTAGCAATAGGGCCAATGAGAAAGCGGCATCCCTTATTGATTGAGCTAACAGAGGGCATTGAAGGGATCCTCCTTATTGGAATACACAAATGGGAGTGACTTGAATTGGAGCTTGTAGACCATAGTACCCTTGTCGGGAGGAGCCTTATTCCTAATAAGTTGCGCAGTTCAGTCCCTTCCAATATGAGTGTCAGACTTGCATCACATTACCTCCTGTGCTAAAAAAAAAAACAGCTAACTGAGAATCCGCTTTTCCTGGACCCGGCAAAGCACCAACCAGTTTCGGCTCCAGCAGTCTGAGCACAGTCAGTGGGACAAAGAGTGGAAGTCAAAGCAAAAGTATACCACATAGAAGGGCACATGGGTATGCATGCACAACATCATTGTTAATGAAAAGCAAGTAGGTAGCATTATTGAAAACTAGAAAACAAGTAAAGCAAGGAGAAAAACTGATGGATAGCTTCAGATTGAGAGTTACCAATGCTAAAAGAAGTTGCCCAGAAACAGAAATAGACTCTTTATAATCACCAGCACTCAAGTAACCATCAATCACAAACGCCGGAGGCAGTACAACTCGCTGGAGCGCAGTCGCAGGCGTTGGACCGTAGTGGTCTCTTTTTCTCTTTCTTTCTTTCTATGTCTGTCACTAAATTGTGCTGTATCTGACAAGAGAATAGTCCAAAACTGGTACTATTTTATGTTTATGACCTTATATTTTTTAAAAAGCCATGAAATGCCCGTTGTACTTTGTTTTGCAAATCAAAAGATGACCCTAACGTGCCCAAAATGTATCTTAACAAGTCCCTAAAATGAAGTGGCTGTGCTTCATAGTTCTTAGCCCATAGGATTCTGAGAAATTTCATGATTTTTAATTCGTGACAGATACACAACAATGTGGGATATGTATTGCTTTTATAACCTTTCCTATCTTTTATGAGGATAATTGCGACTTGGAGGTTGTGTATACCCATTTATTACTAAGTTTTTGTCATATTTTGCAGGTGGGACCAGTAGAAGGGGCTACTTTTGTCGATTATGGAACTGATCTTGGATCAGGACCTGTTGTGCCAGGTACGTTTTTGTGTTCTTTATGATATTATTTTTGGCCCTTCTTTTTCTTTTGGCTGGGGACACGAGGTGAGAGAAATTCTCTCGTAAAGAAATGGCTCAAACCTGCAATTTTGAATGCTCTAAGTATGCAAGTTTCGCCATCTGTCAGTGGCACTTGATATTGTATTCTGTCTGGCTGCAGGGGCTTGAGGGTTAGCCAACATGTACTATGATATCTATCCTGTAGAACAAAGTGGCCCACCTTGATTTCATATCATTGATAAGAGGAAACTTCAATGAAAGAGTCTCCGATATGATGAATTTGTCGTTATCGGCTAATTGATTGTAGAAATGATAAATTCTTTGTTATTGCATAATCCATTGTATCAAATTCCTTTTTGAAATTCTTTTTTTCTTTTGGATAAGAAATGAAATTTTCATTAGTTAAAGTAAAAATTACGAAGTAGTGGACAAAGAATCCACCCCATAAAAGGAGAAGAAAGTTAAAAAAAAAAAAAAGAAGAATGCATCAGAAAAAGTTTAATCATGATAGAGCTAAAGAAAATGTACATCTTGGCAATTCAATTAAGGGTAAGGGCAAACAATGACACACTCGCAAACCCTTTAGCAGTCAATGGCTAGAGGGAAGCCAAAAACGTACCTCTACGCAGTCCCACAAGATAGGTGCTCTACACTCCTGTCCAAAAATGCCATAGTATGCCTAAGTAAAGCAACACATCGTTTTGGAATTGTCCATCTCAAATGAAACTCACCAAAAGCTCTATACCACGTCATTAAGGCCACTGGATAGTGGAGAATGAGATGATCTTCACGTTACAACATCTTTTACGCATTACCCACCATTGAGGAGGAAGGCAAGAAATTGATCTTCTCTATTGTAACAAGTCACAAGTATTAAGTTTTCGTGAGTTATAGTCCATGCAAAAAAACTGTACCTTAACAGACACTTTAGTCATTCACATCATCTTATGAGGTTCAAAAATTGGAGGAGATGGAGCATCAATGAAGATATTGAAGTAGGATTTACAAGAAAAGACAATAGATGAATCAAGGATCTAAAACTGTTCCCCCCATCCAAGGGAATAAGGACACTGAACTAAGCAAAAACAATCAAGAGGAAAGTTCTGGAAGTTCCCTGCCGTTCAAGGCCTGAAGGAGTTAAGATTCCCCCCGCTCTCCCCAAGAAGAAGATACATAATACATGCTTGCAATGGAATCCTCTTGAGACCGGAATAATCTATGAAGACAAGTAAAAGACAAAGCAAATGAAGAATCCCCAATTCAAATATCTTCTTGTACTACCAAAACCATTTAGACACTGTGAAGTAAATTTCCAAGGACACCAAAAAGAGCCCCTAACCACGCCATTCAAGTCCTAACCATTAGGTTGAAGTTCATATTTTCCTTTTAAACATTAGCATAGATATATATTGAAATACCTTCATTTCTGGCACAGTAGTCTACTTTCTTTTAAATGTTGGAAAAATACATTGTAATCTTCCTTTATATATCAGGTGATCCAGCAGGGGCAAGGCTAAAACCTGGAAGCGGTTATGGGTATGGGATTGGTATTCGTGTGGACTCTCCTTTGGGGCCTCTTCGACTTGAATATGCCTTTAATGACCAACGAACAGGGAGGTTTCACTTTGGGGTTGGTCTTCGAAACTAAGCTATGTCTTGCATTGTTTTTATGTATTGATGCGATATAACATTCTTTTACATGATCAATCGTTGTTTTTGGATGTATTGGCCTACTGCTAGTGAACAATTTTGTGTATATCATAATTTTGGGCTTCTTTATGTGGTTTGTTTTCACAAGAATGTGAGCAGATCTTATAAAATTTCTGCCATTTTCAAACGAAAAATATCACTGGTGCTGGGCTTGGTTAATCTACCTGCTAAATGATAATGGTCACATCCCATTTACGACTCTTGCGAAATTTTAACTTCCTTTGTTATCTTTATTTTGTCATTGGAAAGTTTTTTTGGTTAAAGGGTGGTTTGAAACTCTGGAAGCTGTACGGGCCCTACTAGCATGCATACATGCGCTTGGAGTTTTGTGGATGATGAACTTAATCTAAAGCCTGATTCTGAGATTAGGCTCCCATTTTACTCCTTTAGCTATTTCAGATTTTGATACTTGACCTTGGTATTTTTTAAAGAAAGAGGTAAGCGGATGGTGCTGGACACTGGACAAAACGCTACTAGTGTCTGAGTCGCCATTGTTTTGATCTTGTTCATGGGTTTTTTAGATGAAACGGGTATTTATTTTACAAATGCAGTTCCAAAACAATGTTCTACTGGTACATCAACAGAGTGTTTGGTGTTTGGGTCTTTTGTTGTATCTTTCTTACTTTTATTGGTACACTAATGGCTATGAAGATACCCTAATTATAGATGTAACAGAATGTGGTGGATGGGTGATTCTGTCATGGGGTTGGACTATTTTGGTCATTACGGGTTTTTCTCAGCGCTATGAAGTTTTTTGCATCATTTTGCTTGCATATATTTCTAAATATATTCGGGTGTTGTTAGTGGGTCTACGTATTTGATTTTGAATTTTACATATGATTTTTTTCCATCCTGGGAGATATTATCTTAGCTTATCTCTTCTTGAATCGTATTTGTGGTCTGGTCTTCCATTGAATCATCTTTACTTCTTGAATAATATTATTATTACTACATTGTTGTTGTTGTAGTTTCTTTGGGGCATTTTGGGTGGTGAATGTTCTTCGCGCAAATATTTTCCGAAGATTATGTTTATTTTATGAAAACGATAAATCTTCCATGTATTAAGGTAGCAAAATAGGGTTTGTGTACAGATGGGGATCTGGCACCAATTCTCTGGAGTATTTATTTTTGATTTCATTGGATTTCAATTTTGTTCCCTTTGGTAACATTTTCCCTTCCTTCTAAAATGAATTGAAAGAAACTACTCTCTAGGTGCCTTTTCCAGAAATGGATGAAGTACAAAATATGCTTTGGTTATTCCTACATGCTGCTGCTTTAACTGCTTAAGAATCTCATGTTTCTCATAGTGGCAGGAGGGTTCTATAATTTTGAGGCCATTTACCTTACATATGGGATAAGAGAGTGGTTATCATCTTGGATAATCGTGAATGTTTGAGGGGTGGAGTAGGTGCACTTTTTTTTGTCCAGAATTTCTGCAATGTGGTTGTTTTCAGATTCAAATTCTCTTACTCAAGGTTGTCGACGTGACAGTATTGTTGTGCTTAGATGAATGTTGATCGAAGTAAATGACATTGGATGTTCCATGGTAGCAATCCAGTCTGAGCTATCCAAACAATGTCACCATGGTAAAACATCTCCCAAACGGGAAAAAATTCGAAGGCTTTCTACCTTTTCCATGCCCCCGTTTATTGTGAGGACTTGTGGAAAGACTCTGAAAGAGCATGCATCTACTAACTAGATGTGTATTTGGATCATCTAAATTTCAATTTTTTAAAGAACTTCTGTTAAATTCACTCATTCAAATTTGAATTCACTGGGTTGTACTTGTATTAATGGGAAACGCCAGAATTCAGTGAGTTGTACTAGAAAGAAAGAGGCAGTGAGCTGAACTTGAAAGCAAGAGGAAGGTCGATGTTATTTGAACAAAGTGAACCTTAACATGATCTCTATTCCCAACGATTTTTGTTTTTTTTTGGGTGTAAATAGAAGAAGAAGAAGAAGAATCTTTTTCACAAGCCAGTATATCTACCTTATCAATAATGGCTCATTACATATGCCATGTCATATCCGAATCAAAGGGTATGAGATCAAGTTTCATATAAGAACCAAACTTTTTCCAAGGGAAAATTGATGGGAGTTAGGATAAGGTGCTCATACACGTAAAATTTACTCTATAACAATGTATAGAGTCATGGAGGATCTTCTCCCTCGCCCTTTATCGTTCCTCCCTCTCACTCTCTATTAGTTTATTCAAAGCTCGAATAAAAAAAGAGGATTATGTTAACTAACGGCCAACATAAAACTGTCAAACCCAATAAGAAAATGAATCCCAACTTTGAATGAGATAACAAGTTGATGCACTAGCTTTTTCTTTTGCGGAAAATATAGCTCTTATAGTAATAAGACGCTTGATAGAGCACACACAACTGAGAAAAAAGATTTATAAAATTGATTTTAAAAAGTTTGAGATAAAAGTTATGTTGAGTTTAAGGCCAAGACTACTTATGTTCTAGAGATCACCCGATCGATGCCACTCAAATAAGGTTGTCGATCAGAAATGTAGGTATTCATGGGCCGGAGATGAGCCAGAGAAGCACTAATCTCAAACGATGAATATCAGAATATAGGTGAATACCCAGCTTGCATTGCTACGCTCGTTACATAATAAAGCAATAAGAATACATGTTTACAACAATCCTTTAACAAGCATGACATGTGATGAACACAGAAACATACAAGATCCACACTTTCTTTTTTTCTTCCTAAGCTTTGGGAAGGTGGAGGATTTCTTTTTGATGACAACACTTTCAGAGGAAGCTATACTTATCTCGGCCTGCTGGCTAAGATCAAGTTGGTGTTGCAAGCTAACTGCCAATATAAAAAATTTGCTGCTGGTTAACAAATGCAGGTGCCATGAGAAGCCTGTAATCATGCAGTTTTGGAACATGTAAACATGACAAATTACTTGTTGGAAAATCCATAGCTACAAGCTCAAATCCTCAGGTAAGCTGATCTCAAGGAAGTATAGACTGCAAAAGAAGAGGCAATACATAATTTGCATGCGTTAACACAAACACAAGCAGAGAGAGAGAGGAATGGGTTGTAGGATGAACTAGCAAAACAGAACTAATCAATCAAAATTGTTCGGGCTGGAGGACCATGGTTACAAGCTTTTTGATATGATACTTGCACAAATGGGAATGGGGATGATAAAAGACATGAATCAGCGACCAACTGCAGGTAGGGATGATTTTAGTGCCACTAGGCCATCCCAGGTTAAAATAACTACAGGTGCCATTATCTAATCTCCAATTCATGAAGGTGCAGAAACAACAAAAAGAACGAAGAGGTAAGCTTTACTCCAGAAACACTCTATTTTCTCCTCCACTAATTTTTGCAATTTCCTGTAACAACTTTTTTCCCTCTTTTCAAAATGCATCATTGCTGATGAAAGCAATGACCCCACATCAGATGGTAATGCTAAAACTAAATGTTATAATCCTTCTAAGGCATTTCTTTCCTTGGTCAACCTACAATTGTTAGTTTTACCCCCTAAAATTATAATTTTCTTCTTTTTTGGTTTGTCAAATTGAAATTTCCGTATCATTTAGTTATCTGCAAACATACAAATGAATAGACATGGCAAGAATAAGGTCAACGCGACACCACCATATATTATCTAGTTCCACGAAGTTTTTAACTTGGTCAAAATTTTTAAAATGGCTTTCTAAAACACATTTTCCTCTTCTTAGCAGGAACTGAATTACCTTGCAGACATGAAAGCCATTCCAAAGAACACAGCCTTGACAGCTTGCTTCTGCCCCGCATAATCGAACGCCAATGGCAGCATTTCATGCAAGGTAAGAAAAGCCATAACTCCACCGACTGGATAAACAACATATCCAATGAACAATAGTGGCATACATCCTATATAATTTTTTTTGAACTCAAGAAATCTCAGTAAACAACACTATGCAAACCTGATCCCAGAAGACCTTCCAGAATCTCAGGACTTAGGCTGCTTGGGAATATATAGGCTGCAGTGCAATCGAAAAGAATAACTAGTCTTAAGAAACTCATAAAATGAACGCACTTCTGTTTATCATTGGCATTTACAAAGAGAAAACACAACAAAAAATGAGCACGAAATTGCAAACAGGGCCAAAGGAAGGAAAAAAAAACCCAGCTAAGCACAGCAAAAATTTTTATTTAATGGCTTCCGAGAGTATGTATCAAAGGTGAAGCGCTAAGAAAACTCCCAATATCACAAAGTCCAAGAGGTCATATACACGATTGAATGCCTCAACACTTGAAGACAATGGCTAACACCTCACAAACTCATTTTATTTTTTTTGGTTACAACGCCTCACAGACTCTAAAGAAAGAAAAATGATGCTAGTACTTTGATTTCTTGCAAGCAAAACCTTTGGCATCAAATTCCAGCACAGGAAAAAAGTCAGGGAACATACCTACAATTATTACACCCAGGGGTTCAGCCAAGCCAGAAAGTGTTGCCAGTTTGAATGCCTGCCATTTGCTGAGGCACACAAGCAAAATACCAATTACAACTAGATATTTGATTCCAAAAATATATTATACAAAAAACAAGAATTTTGCACTCCACGATTTTGTACAATGACATACAAGCAATTAACCTTTCTTCCTCATTATAATTCCTAGTGAGTTTCTGCCAATTTGGCATAAATGGGTAAGTCCTTGTAGGCATGAATTATCCCAATCGCAAACAGATCTTAATTTTGAAATTTTCTAGCAATTTTAGGAAACAATAACTTTCTATTGAGTAATTCTGTGATTGGTTTAAAGCATGATTTGTAAGAACATTTGAAATTGAGTACATCTGTCAAAATCTCAATGCCAAGGCTCAACGCTGCCTATAACTTGATCACCAGAAATTGTTGGAACTGAACATGCAACCAAATCCTTGTCAAATATAACTTTAACGTTTGCTGTGGAGTCACCCTTACGGCATGTGCAATTAGGGTTGTTAATCAAGCCAAGCTTGAACAGTTTTTAAAGCTCGTTTATTTGTAAATAGTCAAACGAGCCAGCTCGTTTATGTGTAAATTCAGCTCGATTTAGGCTCGAATTCAGTTCGATTAACACCCCTATGTGCAATGAGGCTTGGGACAAGAAATAAAAACCCAATTTGTGAAACTGCGCATGAGCTGATGTATCAAACAACTTAATAAGCCCATCCCAGGGAATTGTTCGCATTTTTTGATGCAATCTTCACCAGCAAAAAAGAAAATCATCAAAGGATACAATGAATATCCTTCTTTAGTCTGATAACCATCAAAAAAAGTTGAACCCATTGGTGCCTTGAAAGATTACCTCTGTGTTGCAAAATAGACAGGAAGTGCAACAGCAACACCCTGTCAAGTGAAGACTGAAGAAGTTAGGACTAAAAGGAGAAAATGACAAAAATGCTCATATAAGTAGAAGACTTTTGTTCATGCACCAATTATGAAATGGCTGCATCCCTGCTTCAATTCACAAATGGTCCCCTAGCTAAAAAGCTCTTAAAATAGCCATAAAAAACAGTTGTCAACAAGAAAATTTCAAAAATCCCAAAAGCTGGTGAAGTTAGTATGCTATTCTGGCAAGTTATCTTTTCTTGTATTGAGTTTCGACTCACTCTGAGACAAAAATGCAAGCAGGAGTAGAAGTTTAAACCAACTATATAATAGGTTATGCTAAAACCAGAAAAACACTCCACTCTGTATGATTCCGAAACAGGACCTATTGTGTGCTTCACTGGAGCTGCACATCCACTCTAGGTTAAGTAAACATCACAGCCTATGTCTGACTTGAATTAACCTACCATTGAATCTCATCATGACCCATATATAGGATGCAAAGTAACCAACTCCTGAATTTCACTGGGCATAGAGGAAATCTCAGGAATCATATCATGTATAATAATAGAATTCATGGGTTCACCATGTCAACTAAGAACTTCACCATTCATGGAGTTTCATAAGAAATTTAGGAGAACCTATAGCCTTTATGCAGGAGAAAGCTATACAGAAGAATCTAAGCATATACCTCTGGAATGTTGTGCAAAGCAATGGCCAGGGCTAAGTTCAGACCAACCCGAAGACCCTGCAAAAGAAGCACAAAACAGACAATAACTTTGAGTGACAGTAAATAAGTGAGTCTATGGTTCCTCATACTAATGATATCAAATATTCTTAGTAATTTTCAATCACCAAATTAGCTATCATTATTCTATGTTATAGTTAAATTTCTTACTTTTTACATGACCACAGTTCACTGCGCTCATATGGCTCATTTGTAACTTCAACTTGCAATCAGGTGATATAAGCATCCAGCAATTATAACTTGGAATTAAATGATCAACAAGTGTAGGTATTCGAAGCAAACTGTAGTACATAAAAGATTTTGTACCTTTTCACTTACCATAGGTGCATCAAATTACTGACATTTCAGCCGAGTAAAACAAGTAGACAGCTAGAAAGGCATATAAAAATGAACAAAGAAATTTGTCACATACTGCCCAGTACAGGCAGGTGTAGTTCTTGAAAAGCATGTTCAATCTTTCAGGCCAGGCTAAAAGCTGTAGCATTAAAATGTTTTAAATTTAATAACCACCATTTATTTAGCTTATATTGTACCTCCAATCACCCACTAGGAAAGAGGTGGGGGTTCCGGTCCACTGGTGACATGGGGTTAGAGGAAGAGAGGAGACCGTAGGGGAGATGTATAGAAAATATCTTCCCCTTAAAAAAAAAAGATGGTCCAAGTCAAAAAAACATTACTTTTTCTTGTGCCACGTTTCAAGATAATGCAGTTTCATAGAGTACACAAGAATGCTGCCACACTAGATCAAAATATCTATGATAAGTAACTAATTGTACAAATATAATTAACCACCACTTTTAAAACAACAAAGCATACCTACCAAAGAAAATACCAAGCAACAACATTAGAGAAAGTGAGCTAAGCAAATTAATAAAACACTTGATACTAGAACAAGCACATCAACATTCAGTTCTTTGTGATTGAGGACAAAAGGTTATACATATTAATTTTTCCTCTGTTCCCAGCCTTGCGACTCATAGAATTAAAGAGTCATGGACATAAAAAAATTTGGATGTACCTTGATAGATCCGAGAAAGACTGCCATTCCCTCTGGAAAATTGTGCAAGCTTATGCCTGCAGTTTGTAAACAGGACAAAGTTTCTCAATGAACCCAAACAATGTAAAAAATGGCATACCATCAATAAAAGAATTAATCAATTATCAAAAGACAGAATTGTGGTTCAAATAAGCAACTAGAAACACATTATACGAGGTGGCTATAGACTAACCCATTAAAGTGACTTTTAAGATTGATCTCCCATGAAGTTCAAGTGCTTCCAAGTGGCTTCCTCTATATGCATCTTATTGGCCCTCTAGGTGAGAGAAACCTCAAACTCAAGTTGTGACTTTCCACAATAGAGTAGATACCAATATAATCCTTTCCATTCACTCCATATTCATCGTTCCACACTTGTAAAAGACTATAGAGCTATTCTTCCTTTGTTATAAATCTTCACAAAGAATTTGGCTCTCAACTGTAGTTTAGCAAATGAATAAATTGCAGGTATCCCTAAAGTGATTTAGGATTGAACTGTGATGCTGATATTGTTTCTATGTAAGGCAGGGTCATTTACAAATAGTATCAAGGGCTTGTAAGGTCTTAAAGATGCCTCTTAGGGGAATGTGCTAGCCTTGAGTAATAAAGAATATTTGAGTTTTGAAGAGCTATGCACTGTCCCCTTTCTTTTTCACTTTCACTTTCCCTTTCCCCCTCCCCCCTCTCCCCGTCCCTGTCCATTCTTCTTTTTTCTTTTTCTCTTCCTATTATCCTTGCAATGGATATCGAGAGGCTTGGGGAAGTCGCAGATGCCATCCCCTCCCTCTTTTCCATTCTATTCCCCTTTCTCCATCTGCTTCTCCCCTTCGCTGTGAGAGGCATGGACGTTGTGTAATTTCCCCTCCATTTCCTTTCTAATCATTCTCTTATTTTCCATAATCCCCTCTATCTTTCTTATCATATTCTCGATTCACAGATACATTTACTCATATATACTGATGTGTGTGTAAGTATACATAAAACAGCCAAGCTTATATTTCCACGACATTTTCGACTTTAGTCTTGTAAGACCAAATCATATCACACTCATAAATTGATTGACATGCCACCAAATCTTCCCAGATATGACCAATACCCTTTATTGTATTCATAAGCACCTGACCCATCTAATGCCTTGTACAAAAGTCACTGTTACAAAGCTGTCATCATCACCATAGTATCAACAAATTCAATTCTTTGGACATTCACCAAACAATAGATAACCATCACAATCTTCAATAATTTTACTATCAAGAACAGAATAATTTAAACCATCCACATCACTGTCATCCACTTCTCATCACAGAATGGTGGGCACGTTAAATCAACTACCTGAATGTAGCAACTCCATATCAGGACAAATTTCAGCATATTCTTCAAGGTAATATTCCTCCTCCTAGAAGGTCGCTCCAACCTGAGAATGAGCCTAAACTTGCTCATTGTGTTGGATCAAAACTTCAATCTGCCTTCTCAAAAACATTAAATCATATCAAGAATATGCAATGACCCGATGGCTGTTGTTTTGTTGAACAGCTGATATGCAAGGTGGAATTCTTCTGATTGGCAGCATCACTATGCCCTAGGGACATCTATCAAATTGATACAAATTCTGCTACACCAATATTTCTCATATCACAAGTGAATCAACACATGCATGCCAAGAAGAATTGTGTCAATTGAGATGTGAAAAACAAGGGCAGAGTCAAATAAAAACTCTAACTTAATTCCAGATCTGAATTCATAGTTAATGGAATAGACTAGTACCTTAGTGAATTGTGATGGCAATCCAAAACAGTTTCTCTCTCCTTCCATGACTTTTATAATTTGTTCGAAAAACTTGAGGATATTGAATTGACATAACAAGTACGTGTCAACCTTAATTTAAATCTAGTTTATGGCTTATTAATTTATCTAGCAAAGGGGAAAACGGCTAACCATGGGCACACCCCGACTACTACCTCTCATCTTGGTTTTTGTACAATATGCACTCCTCTGCATGCAATGCATAAAAATACAAAATATTGCCTAATAACCAGAAAGTTGGAAGTTTCCTCACAAGTCACCTTATACAAACTTATTAACAACATATCCTTCTTATGTACTAGTTTATCACAAGGAAATTCATTCCTTGTAGTTTCAAAATCAATGTTAATTTTGCCTTATTTAAGAATTACTTTGCCCTAATAATTGGGCCCTCCCCATGGGATCACTTCAACTTTACCATCAGCAGAATTGATAAGTTAACTAACGCTAACCAAAGCTCCTTTTCAGCAATCTTTTGATAACCAGGTTTTAGTTGCAAGTTGCAACGCAATTCACATCGGACCACATGAATCTGCGATGCTTTTTTTGGAGAGTTCTAAAATTACTTTTCCAAAAAATCATATTTATGCTAAATCTATTGCTTTGAACATCAGGAAAAGCATTATCTGGTCAAATTAATAAGATTCATATGTTCTAATAAGCTTGATATTAACATCTTTCATATAAAAGATTTTTTTTATCATTTAATATTTGTTTCTCTTCCTTTATAAAAATTGTTGTGTATTTGATACTCTAAATAGAGTTCTATAAGTACATCAGTACATCCTTTGTACATTAGAAAGTGCCCTAATATATAACACAGCACAATGTATCTGTTGTTTATCATTCACTCTGATATTATCTTTCAATAGATTCACAATTATCACATATCAAATTAGATTTTGTGCAACACTGAGAGTGAAGTGGGATATATCCATCAAGATAAAAGTATTCTGGAACTGACATTGACTAGGATTTACATTTGAGACGTTCTGATTGACAAAGCACATGCTAACAAGGCTCTCCTTTTCACATTATCTACTGAAGAACGGATGATAGTGCTCATATACTTGACCAAAATTAATTGACAGACTTATAGGGCAATAACGTGATTCAAACAAGTTACAACCCCACAAAGAGTCCCAGAAAAAATGGTTGCTAGACCATGTCAACCCATCATATGCAGATAGATAAATGTACCATGAATATGGGCCTCTAAATCTAAGATCTAATGCCATCATCAACCAATGTCAAGTTTTCTGCTTCAATAAACGGGTCAAATCTTCAGCCAGATAAATCACATATGATTCTACTTTAACCAAGTAAATAATCCAATTAGATTGCTTTCAAATGACCATAAAACAACTTAAAGAACAATCACTATGGATGGTAAAAAAGTTCATAAGGGTAGTTGAACCTATTGCTGTGATTATTCCACTAAACAAAACTTGGCGGCGATGCTTTTTCATGATGTCCTTGCCCCCTTCATCACCATTTTTCTGCACAAACTCAATTTTCAAAAATAGAGTACCAAAAAAACATGCATATGAAAGCAAATCCATTCACTATGAGATATTGCAACCTTTTTATTCTTCACATCTGAAACGGGAGCAAGCGTTGGTTCTGGGATGAAATTGGCAACAATTGCGAAGAAAAGCACACCTGAAAAGAACTGTAAGGCCAATGAAAGGACAATAATTGTTAGTCATGGGTCAGAAAAAACAATGTTGCAGTTAATTTAGGACAATGATTATTATGACCACTCACCCATAAATTTCCTTTTAAGAAGCCAATGGAGTTTATGGCATTATGAGCCAAGTCAAAGAAAGATATGCTCAACATAAGGCCTGCAGCGAAACCCTGCTCAGAGGAAATCTAGAGGTCAAGTCTTATTGATGCAAACGATGTGCAGGAAAGGTTTAAGGAAGCAACAACAGATGCGGAAGACCAAATTCTGAGCCATACATGATACTATGAAAATATTTGTTTCCTGTTTGGTACATGGACTTGCCCTGGAAAATGAAGAAAAAGTTTTGCTGCTACTTTTTCAATTATACATTAGGGTGCTCCAGTATTGTCGAATGGGCTGCCTTAGTTGGCTTTTGGTTGTGACCTTACCTTGCATTTGGCACATATTGTAAGGTTCATAGGGCTCGGATGTGGTCTAATTCTTTCAGTCTAAATCGGGTCCATAGAATTTCTAGCCCACATTTCTCTTGGTCTTCTATTTATTTTCCTCTACATCAAAAGTTATAATGGATAAGAAACTGACTGAAGAGATCTTTTGACCATCAGTCCTGATGATCCATGGTGCATCTTTCCCAAGACGTGAGTGCCTATGAACCAAGCTGTGATTGTCTGGACTCCTCCTTCCTATTCTTTGAACTTTTCTGTTTTTTTTTAATCTCTTCGAAATTCAAACCCTTGGCTATGTTCTCTCACTCTGTTTTGGTAATGAAACTAAAGATCATTTATTGGTCTCATAGAGTCAACGTAAAAATGATTTTTTAAGTTAAGCAAAGTCAATTTATGGACATGATAAAGTTCTTCGTAGCATACATATTTGTTCACATTTATAAGAGTTTTGGAATTTTGATCCCTAATTTTCAGGGAAATATATGGCTACATAAGTGAATGGCATTCTGAGAGATGGGAAAATTGCCTTCCGCTTTAAAAAATAGAGACACAATGCTAAACATCACCTGTAAAAGCCCAAGCATCTTCAGGTTGGGAGCCTGATTAAGAACAACAAAAAGGGCACCTGCACAACATGCAAGCTTCTAAAATTAGATTGCACAATTTATGAAACCACACCAACAAGAATTAGTATATCCAACTACTGAATCCACAAGTAATCAGACAATCGAAGATTATGACAAAACTCATAGCACAAAAGTTGCAGATCAAAAAACTTGATAAATATGTGCATGGGACACTCTTTCACAATGTTAATTGATCGTATGACTTGAAAGGATCTCCTTACGGTGATTTTTAATTTTTGGCAGCAATATGACGAGAAACCGAAAGGGAAATAATGATGCAACTGTTTTGTCGACCAAATTCCTGAGCATATGTCAATGAACCTGACTATAATATTGAAGAATATAATTTTAAAAACTTCACTCACAATTATATACATTGAGGAAATATGTCACATTTGATATCTGATACTGGTTTAAGTATTATATTAAGGAGAAAAATCATACACCTAAAGGTGTTCTATCCAAAGTAAAGAAGAAAGTCAACTATTTGGAAAAAACAATAACTTCAGGAAAGACGAAAATAAAGAAAACATATTTATTATTTGTTTCTGTACCCTGTGAGATACCCAACTGACCTGGGGAGGAAAATCTTTGTGAACTCCTATCAATGAAAAATATTTGTTTAATTTAGCTAGCCTACAAGTAGTTTGCATCTGTTTTATGCTTCATCTTCCTGCCTAAATGGAAAAATGATTGTTTCCACATGTTTTCAATACAAAAGAGATGTATTTCTCATTCCTTGAAGCACAAGACCAAGCTCCCAACACCCAAATGTTTGTTCCACAACAAATAGAATCATTTAAAAATACAAAAAGGTTGGGGGAGAATGAAATTCCGCATGAGGTAGGTGGTTGAGTTGAAGTGGAGGAGCAAAAAATCAATGACAAACTATTTTTTTGACACCAAAGAATTTATTGCAACATGCCTTCGTAGCGTCAATATCATTTTTATGTTCTGAAAACTAGGGGCTTAGCCAAAATTTTCTCCTTAGGGGCTGAAAGGAAGTATGTGTTATAGTATTCAACTCAAAACTAGTCGACTATAAGTGGAGACGCCCCTTAAGCATAAAACTACCCTCCGGTGGTAGTCCTAATCATTTGATGTGGGATACAAGTTCTTTTGCATCCTGCTTCACGTGGGATTGGACTCTCACAAGCAGCAAACAAACAAACAAACATGCATACCAAGAAATTCAATGAGTAAGAAACTTGACACATTGACCACCCAAGAGCCATTTTTGATACCATTTTAGAGCATCTAGCTTGAAACCAACTGACATCGAGTAGAGAGGCCCGTTAAGAATATAAACTAATTTTGGGTGTCTTTAATCATTCAGTGTGGGTTAAAAACTCTCTTTACACCGTGCCTCAAGTGCTACCCAAGCTCACACATGGGACCACTAAACAAACCAACAAGTATGCATCCTGGGAAATTTAATGGGTAAGAGACGTGACCCACTGACCACCTAAGGCCTAACTTTGATAATATGTTATAGTATCCAACTCAAAATCAATTGACTATAAGTGGATAGCCTCTTAAGTATATAAACCAATCTTGGGTAGTCCTAATTAGTCGACGTGGGGTAGAAGCTCTCTTTACAGTATAATCAGAAAAAAAGTGACTACACAACCTTTTGACTTTTCATTTTCAGTATTCTTTTTCTTTTCACTCTGTTGTGTGGGGGTAGGAGCTTTTTTTTTTGGAGGGTGGGGGGGGGGGGGAAGATGGTTGTTGGGAGGGTCTATAGTACAAGGGATACATCTATGTTACTCTAAAAATTTGTGTTTTAATTACAAAGGATAAAAACTGCGTATGTTATAGATTAGGGGGAGACAATGCGTCTATAGTTTACCTCTTATAATGTACAAAGCTTCGCCCCAAGTGAAATATGGCGTGTTTTAGTCTATTAAGTAACACAAAACAGAGTAAACAAGCCAATAAAGGCTCTGAAAGGGAACCCGTGTCATTAACCCCAACAACTCCATTTACCCACCAACGGATTCTACAAGGCCAACCGGCAACATTAGGTGACCCAAAAGGGTGTTTCAGGATCAATTAGATTATTTTAGCTTCCTTAGAACATGGAAAGGCCGACATGATCATTAGAGTTCGGATCATAGGGGAAACTTGATATGGCGATTTGTCTAGAGTTGAGTTACATATCGTTTATAGCTAAAGGACCATTGTTGGCTGGCTAGGCCCGAAAATGTTTAGTGGGATTTTCTAGGTTCATTATTCCAAGTGTTCCCTTTGGGCCAAGACACAAGGGGAGGAGCCAAGACACAAGGGGAGGGAGTTGACAACCTGTCACATTTGAGGGTACGTTTCTATGATGATCATTTTGGTGTCATTTGGCTGCCAATAAGATTTTTGTTTCTTGCATGACCCACAAGCCCTACCATTATTCAACAGTGGACCATCGACTTTCCAAGGGTATTTAGTTATTTTTTATTGAGGCAAATAGGCAATTCGATAGTAGTTCCCACAAATATGTCACCTTCCTCACTTAGGGCCTTTAGACAACTAGATTAGCTTGACGTCTCTTTTTGGACCATATTAACTTTTGACATGGTGCACCCTTGACCCTTTCTAACTTGTATATCATCAAGGAACAAAATCTCTTTTGATATTGTGCGGCTAGCCGCATCTAGAATAGCTGTTCCTTCTAAACCTTCATCAGTCTTTGAATAGAGAACTACCAATGATGTATGTCTCAGACTACAAATAAAAAATATGTTGTCATAAATAAAAGGGCCTACAAGACTACAATGTGAATGAGGTACGAGCTTTCAAGGGGGTAAACTTCCAAGGTTGTTTCAACTTCTTGGACATCTCACCCAACAAAACTTTAAAAAAAAAAAAAAAAAACCATGTTGGACATCTCTAAAGTACATTTTACATAAGGTTCAATAGGTTATTCAACTCCTATCCTTGAGCAAAGTTGTCTTCATATGCCTATAGAGCATTTACTCACAGTTTTTTACTTGTTCTTCACAGATTTGGGATCTCAGCTAATGCTAATTCCTGCAATGCTAAATCAACCAAATTGTATATATAGGGGCCCACTTGGATAGAATGAATTCCACTTGATTTATGGTAAGTAACCTAGCATCTCAGAATTGATGGGAATTAGCGGAGGAGTGGATTTGGATCTATTTTCTACTAATAAAAATTATTAGAACTTGTCACTCATCTGTATAATTGTGCCTCCCAAATTATTATATAAGTCTTATAAGTGTCTCCATTCATTGCCAAAACAATTTAAGTTGGATGCTTTAACATGCCATCAAAGCTGGATTTTGCGAGTGAGGCTTTGAGTAAGACTCCTCATTTCAATTTCATTGGTTCAGTATTGGTTCCTTTGTGTTTGAGACAGATAAAAAACATGACAACCCCAAAGATAGCTTAAGTGGTAACAGGGACCTAGACGTCCTATCTGAATTCGAATTTTAACAACTCCTTGGGGTAGGACATGAGAAATTTATCTCTCATAAATACTATAGTCCCAGCGTGGATAGCTTGTCTTTGATCGAATCGAAGAGGAGATTAGTCCAGGTCCGCATGAGCTAACTTGGACACCCTGATCGTTGAAACAAAAAAAAATGACATGACAGCAGGTTTTGGAATAGTTCCTTACTTGAATATATGCAACTCTATAAAACCACCAATACAAAGTCTCAAATATTTTACACACAAACCAAATTCAACGTCTGAAATATATAACAAGCTATCAACACCTAAAGGATCACTCAAATCCAAAACAAGCTAGCAAAAAACAACAACCGAAGAAGATACGGAAACACATGGGGCTTGAACTTAAATTTGACAAGCAGCGACATAAGAAACTAACATGGCACAATATTTTACCACAAAATCAACAGCAACTAAGAATGGACTTTGATTGCCAAATCGCCATTAATAAAACAGATAAAAAGACTGATTCAGAGATTTCAATGGTCGAAAAAATGAAACTAGAATTTATTAAACCAAACCTATCCTAAAAATTTCGTAGATACAAGTTCGCAACTTGGGTATGCCCATTCAAAAGTATAGAGGTTAGTGTCACTCACCTATGGATGTACTCAAGCCACCCAATAGTGAGAGAGCAAGAGCAACCAACACCTGTGAATCCATAAATACCTCTGATAATTCAAAACGCAAAACACCAATTTCTTCAGGAAAGATTCGAAGCAGATACCAAGAAAAAATCTTGGGTGGGTAAGTTCTATCTTCTGAAATGGGGAACTATTAGAGGGTCACGAAGATTTGATATAAATAGATATTCAAATTGGGTACTTGGGTTTGCACCAATATAGACTGAGTAATCAACAGAGGATACATATAGTGGGAAACGGCGGGCAATCTTATTCTCCACCCAAGAATACGTGCTGGCATAGTATATAGACTTACATATATAGGTATACATTACTGCTAAAGAGAGAGAATATGTACAGTCGGAGAAAGAGATTGTTTGAAGGGGTGATCCAGCCCGTTAAAATAAAAAAGGAAGAATTACATTTAAATCCTCTGAGGTTTTACACTTAATCAGTTAGATCCCTTAATATTTAAAATATTAAATACAAATCTCCTAAAGTTTATACGCTCGTAACACTTTTTCAAGTTTAAAATATTAAATTTAAACCAAAAATACACCAAGTAAAGATAAAATATCAAATATTTTAAATTTTATAATCAAAATTCATGTTCTATTATGATATTTATTGAAATGACATTAAAAATAAAAATATAATTTTTATTCCAATCTAATGAAATTAAAAAAATTAAATTTTTATTTTTGATTTTATTTTAATAAATGACATAATAGAACATGAATTTTGATTGTAAAATTCATGTTCTATTATGAATGACATAGACCATTTGTTTATTTTTTTTGTTTTATTCTAATAAATAGTATAATTATATATTATTTAAGAAAAATTGACTTTTTATTTTTGATTTTATTTCAATAAATGATACAATAGGACATAAATTTTTGTTGTAAATTTTAGAATATTTAATAATCTATTTTTGATTGGAGTATTTTTGGTCTAAGTATAATATTTTAAACTTAAAAGTTTAAGTATTATAAACCTACAAATTTCAAGGAATTTAAATATAATTTACTAACAGATTTGAGCAACAAATTTCAGGAGTTCTGTGCGTAATATTTTAAATATGAAGAAGTACGAGTGATTAAGTAATAACCCTTAAGGGCTCTAGGAAAAAAGAAGGTAAATTTCATAAATACCTCTGAGCTATAGTCTCGCCCAATCCCATATTAAGCCAAAGATAGATAGGGGGTAGGAAAG